GGGTATCTTACATATTATTCTTCAAATTAAATGTCAAGTTGCCATTAAATATTTGTATTATATGTCTTAATTGAATTGTCGAATCAAAATTAGTGAAAAATGGTACAAAACTAAATGAGTAATTTACATTTGTTGCAATTACATGGAATGTGTTGACATGCAATTTATTTGTTTATATTTTATGAAAACATATGATTACCAACCGAAACGTTTAAAAAAACCTGATTTCTTCCTATTATTTTATTTTTACATGCAAAATCGGAAACTAATTTCTTGATTATATCCGCGAACGCAAACAGATCCCTTTACTGCTTCATTTCCACAAAAATCTATGTATGCAAACCTAACGCTGGGAGAATAGTAGATTCAGTTTAAACATCTCCCATCCCCCTCATGTGTAGCACCAATTGTTTTGTGAATGGGATGTATTACTGGAGTTTTGGAAACTAAGCAAAGGGATCAACCAGCAGTCCAATCATTCCTGGGATTCTCCGTTCGGTTTGGAATCTCTCTGATCATGAATGTGTCCCAGAAAGAAAGAGAGAGAGAAACAGAGAGAGAGAGAGAGAGAGAGAGAGAGAGAGAGAGAGAGAGAGAGAGAAAGAAAGAAAGAAAGAAGCCAATGTTTTTCTTAGAATCTGTTTGCTATTGCCTAAGTGCTTATCTGCTCATTAATATCTCTGGCTTGCTAAAAGAACAGGTTAGCACTCGTAATTCCTCAGAGCTTCTTCCCATTTAGCTCTTCTTTCTCACCTCTTTTATATTTTATCCAATATTAGCAATTCAATACTTTGCTTTTTTTTTTCCCATTAACAACATGTGAAAGTAATCAGGGTGGTGATTTTTCAATGTACAAATGTGTTCAGGCTTTTGGTTAATTGTAGTTTTTTAGATGTGCAAAAAATAAATAAATAAACAAAAATATATATATAAATATAAAAAAATGGGGGGAGTGTTGGCCTATTGGTTAGAGCAGTGCGCTTGTACTCTGAGAAAGCAGTGGCAGCCCACTCCTCCCCAAGGGGATGGGTTAAATGCAGAGAGTGAATTTCTCGAGTGTGAGATCAATAAAGTTCAATTAAATAAAAAAATGCTATATTCATGTAAAACAAATGATATACCGATGAAATACAATTTATTTTCAGCTTGTTAAATGAATATGAATTATCCGTTTATGAATATGGGCGCAGTGGGTCGCACTGCTGCCTTGCAGCAAGATCTGGGTTCGATTCATGGCCGGGGTCTTTCTGCACGGAGTCTGCATGTTCTCCCTGAGCATGTGTAGGTTCTCTCCGGGGACTCCGGCTTCCTCCCACAGTTCAAAAACATGACTGTTAGGTTCAGCTGGTTTCTCTAAATTCTCCTTAGGTGTGAGTGTGTGTGTGAATGGTTGTTTGTCCTGTTTGTGTTGCACTGCGATGGACTGGTGACCTGTCCACGGTGTACCTGTAGACAGCTGGAGGTAAGCACCAGAACCCCTTGTGACCCCACTTGGGATAAGCCTGACAGAAATTGGATGTTTATGCATATGTTTGCATGGCAATGTGTACCTCTGACTGCATCTATTTAAAGGTTAAGATAGTTTAAAGCTAACTTGGTGCTAATCAGTGAATAAAAAAAGTAGAAAACTATTACTGTGATATTCTAAAGCCATACATGCAGAGTCTCTTAAATTTCACGGACCTAATGACAATGCAGCACACAACAAAAAATTTTTTTAGAAAGATAAACTTTTTCCTGTTTTATGAGATTTGGAGGTTTACTTAGTTTTAGCACAAGTGGTAAATGTGTTTGTTTTTAGCTGCTTGTCTTCCTGCAGCTCATCCAGTCCGAGCTAGTGCACACTAGTTAACAAGTTCCCTTTACAAACAACCTGCCACCCATATGTCTAAACATGCCTGACAGGTTCAGGAGGATTTCTTGAAGTTCTTCTGCATTTCCAGCGATTTTGGACTCAGGTGTAATTCTTTGAAATGTCAACCTTGAAAGCCTCCAGCACTTATGAACTTTCACCCAATGAAAACAAAAAAAGAAAAAGGACAATTGGAAAACCTCACTTGATCTTAAACTATCACTACTGTTCCGCTACTGCTAACAGCTGAGAGGAGCATGATGAACAGGGAATTGAAAATGTAAATAAGAGGAGGATTAATTTTCTGCAATATACAAAAATATGGAATTTTCCCTTGTGTCATTTTGCAAGTTTGGTTTTTGTCTGAGGGGTTTTTCGTCCAAATCAAGACCATTGCTACAGATGCCTGTAATAGTTTAAATGTTTGTTGATGTAAGATGTTATAAATTGCAGGAATGCAGACATCTAACAGGAAGGATTAATTTTGAAATTCACTCCTTGAAAAATATTTTTTTAGAGCTTAAAAAGTAATTTATTAAGCAAGTTTTCTGGGTGTTTGGATCCATACTAGTTTCCCAGCTTCGAGCCCTGGAGGTGTGGTCATTCTTGGATCTCACACAGAAAAAGGAAACACCTTATGCAAACCTGCTTATGTACATCTGTTTAGCACTTATAATTCATGGTAGTGCATCAGTGTGTAATGTTAATATTCTAAGAAAGAAACGGCAGAACATTTGAAACATGAATCAAATTATCCTGGTGTTTGCATAAGTTTAATGGTGCATATGTAAACACAGAGTATAGACTTTTCATTGCATCATAAACAGTGAGAAGAATGAGCTACAAACTCTTAAAAAATTTTGAGACCAATTTACTCCAAATGAATGACACATCAATCAATCAATCAACCAATCAACCAACCAATCAATCAATCAATCAATTGGGCTTAACATATTAACTATATTCTAAACTGCCCATCTTGCCATTTTCTGTCCCTTATTTGTCCTCCTTCCTTCATCACTTTCATACAGTGTAGTATATCTTCATCTTCTATAATTTCTGATTGTTTTGTAATTGGACACCTTAGCACAATATAAAAAAACATAAAAAAAAATATTTTTTATTAAAATGAAAATAACATGAAGTAAGTGCTTTTAAATAAGGCAGAAGAAAGACATGAACTTTGTAAAAACATTAAAAAAGTGACTTCTAATAAACTTCTTATGTGACAAATAAATAAAGTGAAACATAAAATAACATTTTACTTGTGCTAAATTTGAAACATGTGGTGAAACCTCCATGAAATAAAATATTCAATGCATTATGATCACAAAATAACAAAGAAAAAAAATCCAAAATCTGGTCCAATGGATTCATATAAAACAAAATATCTAAATGAAAATCACTTTTTCACAGTTAACAACAGATCTATTAACAGAATTCAAACATTAAACCCATATCTTTTAATTGTATAGAATCACAAGTTAAAATCCGGGCGAGTTTAGTACTTTTTTGTAACTATCTTTTTTTTTTTTCAGACCTGCAGGCATGTCTCGCATGTGTTCAGTTCTAATTAAAAATCAAACCTTTCCACTAATAAAGCTACTTTTATTGAGTTATTTTACTGTTTCTTTGATGCCTCTGTTCCTTTAATTTAAAACAACATAACCAGTTTAGTTGCAAGAGGGGTTAAAAGCGGCTTATTTCTAAAATTCTCTATGAAAAGTTAATGATTAACATGGATATGGACAAATTTTCAGGTTATATTTTGGTAGGACAAAAAAATATAAGGTTGTGTTTTTAAGAGTTGCAATGAAACATTAATAGAGTTCAGTTTTCAGCGCATTTGCTGCCTCTCAAATTTTACACATTTTCCCACCATTAAATAGGTGAGGCGTGCAGTGGTGTTCTAGGCAAAATATAGAGGATAGGATGACAGTGTTTAGTATAATAAATGAGCCATAAACCCGGGTTGCATACATGATCTAATGGATACAAACTGATCATTTCTCAGCACAGGTGAAGCTAAAACTAATGAAAGTTCTAAATAATTGTTAAAGTAAACTGTCCAGGCAAAATATTAAATTGGTCCAAGGTACAAATCAGTAGAGGTCTCATCTATATGATCATTAGAAATTGATTACTTCTGTCTCCTTGAACCCCAGTCGGCCTCAGCAGATGGCAGCTCACACTGAGCCTGGTTCTGCTGGAGGTTTCTTCCTGTTAAAAAGGAGTTTTTCTTCTCCACTGTCGCTACAAGCATCCTTAGTGTGAGGGATTGCATTCCAGTCAATGAGTCGATGCAATCAACTGGTTTTCTTTAGATAAAAAACTTTTAATCAATCTGACTGTATGATCTGGTGAACTGTAAGGTGCCTTGAGATGACATGCATTGTGAATAGGCGCTATAGAAATAAACTGAATTGAAATTGAATTTAGTTACACTGTAAAAACAGATCTGAAAAAGTATTATTATTTATTTTTTTTTTTTTTCATAATTGCGTCAGCTAATTCCATCATTTTGTTACGTGTGTTTTCAGTACAGGGGCCTTAAAAGGGGCCAGGACTAGTTCTACAAGGGGCACAAGCCCCAGTTGGCCTCTGTCTAGAACCGCCTCTGGAGGCGTATCAAGTTTATTTCAGCTGCTAGAAAAGTAAAGGGCTATTCCTGCAAAAAAAAGAAAAGAAACATGATAGGGAAAGCGAATTGGTGTGACATAACGGTTTAAATAATAGAAACTAATAAATTAAATAGTGATCATATTAAAGAAAGTGACTGATAAGAAAATAATAGTAAAGTAGGACTGAAAACCAAACTAATAATGTTTAGATAGGGGCCATATACTCCAGGTGAGTAAACATAATTTACATTAAAGTTCCCTCAATACTGTATTATAGTAATCAATATGGAGAAAAAACGTTGATATTGTTGTATTTCTATCTAAACTGACCCTACCCTGATCATATCAACCCTGCTGATATCAGCGGTTCGGTGTTATGACGCGGCCCTCAGGTGTTTTCTTGTCTCTGGGAGTTGTGCACCTGTGTCCTAACTTTATGGCAGCAGTAGCAGCAGGAGTGTTTGCCCTCCCTCTGTTTGGGGCGGGTCTCCGCCCCTCCAAACTCCGCTGCTCTCTACTTTTAAGTCGCAGTTGGCCGCTGGACGCGCACGTGGAAACATATACTGCAACAAGTGGATGAACTGGCCCGCGCGCTCACTCCGGCCTTTTTTTAATATACGTTTCTTTCCTCTGTTACTGTGCGTCTCGAGCCCGATGCTGTCAGCTGCCGCGTGCTCCACTGTCTGCTACCAACTCTGTCGCAACGTAGAGGAACAAATTTACTTTAACTTTTTGCCTTCTAAGGATGAGCCTCGCGTAAAGTCGGCTTTTTGTTTCTTATCTACCATCTTCCTTTTGTTTTTGCCCCCGCTCTCCTGCAAAGAAGTATGGTAGATAAAGGCCCCTTGCTCACTTCTGCCATCATCTTCTACCTCTCCATCGGGGCAGCAATCTTTCAGGTCCTCGAGGAGCCCAACTGGAAGCAGGCTGTGAAGCACTACAGAGAGGAAAAGGACAAAATACTTGAGGACTACCCATGCCTGACCAAAGGGGATTTGGACCGAATACTAGAGGTATGTTCAGATGTTGCTGCTTTCAGCTCACCAGTGCATGGTTGCAAACTGAATGGTTTTGCTCTCAAAGAGGGGGTGACACAGGATGAGTCTCAGCTGGTTAGGAAAGTTTTCACTGTCAACTAACAAAGCTGCTGAGTTATGAGATGGTGCAGCACTGAGGGTCAACACACCCTGCAAAGAGGCGCCTCAGGCCCTGGATTCTCTCCATAAAACCTACAGACGTTGTCTTATCTCTTTGTGGCAATATGATAAGTAATTTATGACATGCAGCTTGCAGCTAATTGATGCAAATTTTCTCCCTTTTTTCATGGTATCAGCAGCTGCAGAGTCCCAGTGGATGATTCATTCTTCTTTTTTCTATAGGAGGGCATGGGCTGTTGGCTACAGAAGAGGATTAGGGCCACTGAAAAAAAAAAAAAAGTTAACTGATTTTTACATTTTATTCCAGTATAATATGAGGAAAAAAGTCAGAATTCCGACTTTAATCTGAGAATTCCGACTTTAATCTGAGAATTCCGACTTTAATCGGAGAATATTCCGACTTTAATCGGAGAAGATTCCGACTTTATTCTGAGAAGTCTGATTCGGAGAATTCCGACTTTATTCTGAGAAGTCTGATTCGAAAAATTCCGACTTTAACCTGAGAAGTCTGACTTGAAGAATTCCGACTTTAATCTAAGAAGTCTGACTTGAAGAATTCCGACTTTATTCTGAGAAGTCTGATTCAAAGAATTCCGACTTTATTCTGAGAAGTCTGATTCGAGGAATTCCGACTTTATTCTGAGAAGTCTGATTCGAGGAATTCCGACTTTATTCTGAGAAGTCCGACTTGAACAATTCTGACTTTAATCTGAGAAGTCCGACTTGAACAATTCTGACTTTAATCTGAGAAGTCCGACTTGAACAATT